CTTACTGCTTTACATACTTTTCGGCCCACCTTCACACGGTGACTGTAAGTAACATGTTGCATTATGGGTTTAATACCACCTCTGTGTGGGTGAGTGTGTGTGTGAAAGAGAGGGAGTGTGAGAACACCTCATAGAGCAGAACTGCTTCATGGTTTAACATCTAGTGTAATGAGGTCCAATAAAATCATGTTAAAAGATGTTAATGTTGCAAAGAAAAACATCAGAAGTAAGGAAATGCCAGAATTAATATGACCTGTGGAAATTCAGCTTCATATGCATTATGGTGTAGATCTTATTACTGAAATACTAGGCTTTCCAGAGGATGTCTTCTTTTTGCAGTGAATGTGTAGTTAGATTTTTCATGTTCTTAAATCTCTCTTTGTTAAAGATGAAGCATCCAAAGTCCATACTTAATGTCAAATCATTCCTCATGTAAATATTTATCATATACCTTTATTGAAGTGCTTCTATGATTAGTGAATAAATGCATGTCTTTTTCAAAGTGCCCTCATAGTATCAAATGCTTTTAACAGTGTTCATATATGAAATCTGATGAACCAAGGCAAAGATGAAGGCAGAAACTTTATAAAATGTTGACTATTTTTTCCCCAGTTTGAGTCAAATGAGACCATTTTTCTGGATAAAAGTAGCATTTATACACCATCTTCTAAGTTCAAAGTATAGTTTCCCAACTTGGATTGTTAATTAGGTCTTCAGTGCAGCTGGAGTAGAACTAGTCCATTGCTTTGGGCAGACTGGTCACTAATGATTTTTCTAATGATTTTCACAGGTATCTGATGAGTGGTCAGGCTTGTTTTTGTGCTGTTAGTCCCAGATCTAGAGAGGAGATCAAACTGTGCAGTGCTGTCCCATCCCAGCCAACCCCAGTACTCTTCCACTGTCCACACCCCACTCCTACATTTGCCACATTTTTCGCCTGCCTTCTTCTCTCCTCTAGTTTTGCCCCTGTGTAGAGCCCATTCTTCTTTCTTCTCCTGATTTCTATTCCCTCTCCCTGTTGTTTCCTCTCCTCCTCCCTGTATTTGAGTCCACAAAGTTTTTCTCTTTCAGGGTATTGCCTGAGTACTTGAACAGTGGAAGATGGAACTGACAAAGCAAAGCAATACAGTTTTGGTAATGTCAAATTTCCTGATAGCACTGGGTTCTCCTGGCACTCAGGAGAAGTAATCCTAAGGCTCATGCAGTACCAGCATCTTTGAGATGGGAGAGTGTTCAATGCAGATAAGGTCTTCAGAAATTCAATAGCCAGACTGCAACAGGAGTCCACTAACAGTGTGACAGCAGGGCTTTTAGAATCTTAAAAACTGAAATAAATTCGGACACCGTTTCACAAAAATTATGGTTCCTGGGTATCTGTACACCTTACTCTCTCCCACGCCCTTTCAGTTTTGGGATTTTGCCTCCAACTTTCAGGTGCTAAAGCCATTCAGCAGCATAATGGCATGACATGTTTTCAAAAATATTTGTATGGATGGATTTTTAGCTGAAACTTTCCAAACATTTTGTAGCAGAGTGGGAGAGTTCAGTGCAGTTTGACAAAATTCAAACTGAAACTGGTATCTTACTCTTGTGAATGATTCTTAACGTGCATATAACTAAAATGGTGAGAAAACCTGTGTAAACAGAGAGGGGGGAAAGGAAAACAGAGCAGGAGTAAAGAAAAAGGTTCTTTTTCTCATTTAACACGAAAAGGTAAATAATAAATGTGGTGTTAGTGAAAGTTAATTATTTTGAAAACAGTCAGCAAGCAGATTAAGAGGTAAAAGAGTACAGCTGAATACAAAGGAAACAACATTTAGTCTTTGATCAAAATTTTTCACAGTGATTTTCTGTTCACCTTCAAGGGTAACATAATTTTATGAATAAGAAAATGTGTTTTGCTACTTGAGTAGCCTTAAAAAGAAATGGTGTGCATTCCATATGACCACTTGAAAGAAAATCACGTACCTGTTCCTCCTTTAAGAAATAACATTTTTATTTATTAAATTTTTTCTCTCAAAGAGGGACCTTAAAGATACATAGTGAAGTTTACATTTAGTCTCAGAGGAAAAGACATGTCTGTACTCTGTACTTCTGCTGCACATTTCTTAGATAATGATAATAGATTAACTGCTTCATCTGTGTGTCATGCTGAAAACCTGAAATATTCCTATTTTTTAAAGTATTGTGTTTTCATTGCAATATTCGTAAATAAAAAATACTGACTTCCCGTCCCACCCAAGTTTGTTGCATCTCACAGGAGGTGAGTCTTTTTGATATAATTGGTCAGTGGCTTTTCTGCTACTCCCTTTGAAGGTATACCAAAATTTATCAGGGCTTGTTTGTTTGTTTGTTTTTGGTTGGTTGATTTTGTTTTGTTTGAGGCTGGTGGTGGTGTTTGTTTTTTTTAATGTTTACCACACAGATAATGCATAATCTTTTAGACATTTCAATTGCTTTGTAATGTTGGTCAAAGCAAAATGCAGTAGTAGAGTGAGCAGGAGGAGGACAACTCGTCTGTGAGTACCCAGTTACTGCTTAACTGAGAAGAAGCACCTCACATCCCTGCACAGATAAACCCGGGGTCTTATTATATCATGTATGTTAAAAGTGCTCGGATAATGTTAGTGTTTGGTTGAACTATCTTTGGGCTTCTGTGGTAGTTGCCCACCGCAGGACATACCATCATTTTGCAAAGTTAGAGTGGTGGGATGTGCTGGGTGACCGTCAGACTCTCCAGCAACTGCTTAAAATCTGTGGTTGAGCTTTCCTGACCTGGGCAGTGAGATCTGTGTCCCAGTGCAAATGTGACAGACAGCGTGTCTGGTGGCAACCACAGAACAGCAAAGAAATTGGAAAAGGAATCTATAAATGCCAGTAAATTTAACAGCAAGGAGATAGCAAAAATATCCTGGAAGTGAGTAGATGTTAAAGGGACATGGAAAAAGGAGCTCTTCTAGGGTTTGTACTATATCTCTATGAGAAATATATTTATATTTTAATTAATTTTTATTATGTTATTGTATTTTATATTTTATAGTTCTAAATACATTATGTTTGCAATTATTTTAAATTATATTTTATATGTGAAATGAAAATATTATTTTTCTGGCCAAATCCTCTGTAGCTCGATTGAGATAAACTGCTTCTGAAAGTACACATTTCCTCTCAAGGAAGGGCTGTTGTAATTTCAGTGTGTTTAAATGATTTTGAATATATTTTTTAACACTTCACTGTGATGTTGACACTCAGTACAGTAATCTGAATAAATATTTCTCTTGTTTGTATATAACACACACTGAAGACATTTGTTGTAGTACTTGATCATGTAGTTGTATCTGAAGTATTTTATTATACTTCACATCTTACTCTACTTTAATAATAATGTACTGAACATAAAACTATAGCAATGATATTTGCACCTGAGTGTTTATGAAATAGTGTCTGTGAGGTTTGGGGTTGTGTGAGCCTTCACTGTGTCTCATGCTGACCTACTGCACGATCTCATCTCTCTGTAGCACACTGTAACTAATAAGTCCATGGAATTGCAGAGTAGAAACAGTAAAGAAACAATCTAAGAGGAGGAAAATTAGAAGGGCTGAAAGTGAGTAACTGGATAGGTTGAAAAAAGTTTGTAGTAAAAATCATGCAAAATGTAATTACAAGTTCCTTTGTGTTTCCTACTTTTTTAGTGTTTTGGATGACACTGTTACAATAATAAACACAGATTTAAGTTGTTATCATGGGAAATTTTCACTATTGCTACAGAAATCTGGTTTTTCTGAATAACCATGTATGCGAACTTATTGGTCTTTTTCAGTATCTACAACGCAAATGAATAAGAGAAATGGCCACCTGTAGAATAATGCTTGTACTTAGACATCTATGAGTGATTTGAATGGCATTCAGTTGAGGTATTTAGGGAAAATATTAAGCATTAGTGTAATCCTTTTTTCTGTTTGAGTTGGTGAGTGTCATTTATCAATAACTTCAATAGAAGTGACTCACAGTCACAGGTTTTTTTTCCTGTAAAGTAACAGAAAAATATGGAAGGGTCTCTTGATTCAAGGCATTCCTGAAAATTGTCATTGAACATGCTGTTTGTAATGCAAATGGTTTTTGTATTGTGTCAGTCACATCATTTGAGTCCTAGTGACTGCGGTGTTTCTAGATGACTTTAAAAATGGAGCTTTGAAACCTCCCACACAGCCCTGGATTCCGCATTAACAAAATGGGTTTTTCTCTGCTGAAAATACAAGTGCTTTAGATTACCAGAAGGTACAATTAAATTTTGCTGGAAATCATGAAGATCCCAAAGAGATATCTAGTCTGCAAGAGTATAGTTTTCTATTTTTATTTGACAGCAATGGATTTGATCACCTTCAATTAGCCTACAGCAATGTATTGTAGAGATCAAATTGGAAATTGAAATACCTTTATGTACCTACATCTTGCAAATATGAGTGAAAATGGTGTAAGTGTTCATTGATGCAATAGGAAAATATAGTTAACATACAGTTAACAGATTCACAAAATGAAAATTACCATATGAATTTATTTATATTTAACTAACAGCGCACTTTGGCCTAGAACCTGGTGTTTATTATTGTGAGCTTTAGCAGGAAACAGAAGCAATATCAACTGGAAAAACATTTCTTGGCCAAGCTGAGAACAGTATGGCTTTCTCGTTTCCAAGTGGGGAACCTGGTTCTTTGGTTTCTTTGGTTTCTTTGTTCCTAGTTAAGACTACTCCCAAGCTATTTTAGCTGAACATTTTACATACTAATGGAGCCTGGGGAAGTGCAGTTGGCAGCTGTTCATGGGATAATAATGAAACACACTGTTTAGTACTGCATACTGCTGCTGTAAAGTGCGGGAAGTATTTTATAGAGATCATGGTGAGCAGAGCAGGATCCACTTTACATACTGTAAGTGTGTGAACTGTGAGCAAGGAAGTTGTGTTTCACTTGAGAGTAACTGGCACTCCTTTGCTTTTGCAGGTAAAGAAAGCGTGTACAGAGTCAGATGGTTCAGAGACGCAGAATCCCAGGTATGGTACCGGAGGGCAAATGCCAGCTGACTGCAGCACGGTGGCAGAGCACGAGGCAGAGCTGTGCTGTGGATATGTAGCATCAGAACACCAGAGTCACATTTTGCAAAGAACGAATGGTTGGGTCAGTTTTAATGCTATTCACTCTGGAGGGTTTTTTTCCCATCAGAGATGCAGCCTAGCATCCAGGTAATTGAGTTTAGATGATGTCATAACACATAATTGTGCTCTTCAACTAAAAAAGCACAAACTATTAAATAGTGTAGGGAAATCTGTGCAATCAAATCTCGGTTTCTTAATTTATCCCTTTTTGGTATACCTGACTCTTGAAGTTCATTGAAATATAGTTTATTTCCAGTGTGGGAAATTATGTCTTTATTTGAGAAAATTCACCCTTACCAAAACTTCTTTGTTTTCACATCTGAAAAACATGCTGTATTCATAAGCTGGGAAGAAGCCATACATTCGTTAAAAACCACAGTCTTTTCAGGCACAGTTTTTCCTAATTTCACATGGAAAAAGGAAATGGATTTAACTTCTATATTTTGCACATGTATGTATGTGTATGGATAATTTTGAGCAGGCAAAGTGGTAATTGTTTTAGATGTGCTATTAAGCATGCATGTTGATTAGTAAACTGTTGGGCTACAAAGGATAGTTTTCTCAGTTTTTGGTGGTTTGCACTGCTTTTTGTCTTTGTCTTGTGTCTGTTTGGAAGACCTATTTTAATTTCACGAAAACTCAGCAGCTTTAATTAGGAGGGGACAGCCACAAAATAAACCCAATATTTCACTAACATTGTGGTTAGAACTCAGAAAAGTCAAATAATTTAAGGTTTGCCCATCAAACCCATCCTTAACTATGTCTTAACTATGCTCCTGTTGCAGCAGGATCCTCTGGGGGTCACCTGCAATATCCAAGGTCGTTATTGTATCTGTGACTTAAGCTGTACTGTACACTATCTGAATTTCTTTGATTAACTCATGTCAGTTATCTTTTCATTTGACTTGGTAAGAACTGAATGTATATAAGGGAATACACAGTTCGATGTCCAAATACACTTTCAGTGAAGTCAGTACCAGTTTTGCCCTGGACTTCAGCGGAGGTGTGGTTTACCCTTCTGTGCTTGTAACTTTTAAATGAAAAATGTATCTGCTGTGCTACTGCTTTGGATTAAAATTTATTATAAAGACCACGCTCTTTCTGAGTATTTCGATGCCATGGAGAATCCCAACTTAGCATAACATTCATATATGTGCATAGTTTTAAGTGTCGTACTTGTCCAAATGAGACTGTTATATTCCAAGCTTTTAAGAATTATGAAGTCCATAGTGTGATGTAATTTCATCACAGTGTGATATTGAAACAAACCTGTTGACTGTCATTATCTTTGCACATCAGGAAATTCTTATGAGCTGTAATTAAATTCTTCATACTAAGTCTGAGGAATAGGATGCTTTTTTTTCCTCCCAAATGCACAAGTGAACCCATATTACCAGGCTAAATCTGGTAGTTTCATTTTTTAAGGTGCATTTACAAACAAATGCTTTTCATTTTTTTGTTCTGCAACCTCAGTTTGAGGACATATCAGATAAAGTTGAAATTAATGTTCCTAGCCTGAACATGTGCAGTGCTGTGTATATGCCTGAAGTGGGATTTTTGGTCACAATGTGACTTCAGTCTTGGAGGGGAATCTCTGACAGAGCTCAGGCTGGAGCGGCACTAGAGGGCTCTGTGTGGCACTCACACTTTGGAGCCCAGAGCAAGGTAATTCTTCTCTAAACACGGCTTAAGTGAAAACACTGCACATAAAATGAAACATCAGCATAAAAATGAATGCTGGAGACACACAGCCTTACAGAATAGCTCCTGGCTTGGGACCTAAGGCCAATATCATTCATTTATTTAGCTAGCTTTATAGTCTGTTAGTTTTGGATTTGAAACTATTACAATAAATGCAGATGGAAAGTGTTTTTACAGTAGGGAAGTAATTAAATTGGGTGTGGGAACTTTGTCAGGAGAATTCTTCAAGTGACATGTGTGTATCAGCAGATTCTTTGTCTTGCTTGGCCTGGGTTTGTCTTCTAGAAAGAAACATTTAAACTGCAGATGTGACTGGCAAATTTTTTTAAGGGATGTATTAATGTATGCAGCATATCAAAAAATGCTTTTCAGAAGTAAACAACTATACATGCAGTGAAAATCAACCTTGTCAGCATTTATTTATAGAAAGTGGTCGTTATCTTAACAGACAGGTAAACTGCATAGACAGAGAGGGATCTGTAGTTAAGAATTGAAGTTGTGGATAGCTGAGTTGTAAACGGAAAAGGAAACATGCATGACTCCTCAATATCTCTGACAGGCATTTTGATTCACAAACAACTTTGTCTTATAAATTCTGTGTGAGTTTCTTGGGAGTTATTTTTGCCAAATCCCTATGAAGTGGTTGTGAATACTTCCTTTTATATCTAAATGGTAGTGTTGTACCTTATTGTGGTGGTATTGTGGCTGTATCAATACTATGGCATTCTTTCTTCATAATTTTGTAGTAGAGATCAAATTCACCCGGTAAGTCTGGTGGCCGTCCAGTCATCCAAAATGCTTACAGCTTTTTGGAGCTGTTGGTGTGTGATACAGAGGCAGTGAATGGTTGGGATTTGCCAACTGTTGTACTGCAAGTCTGGACAAGACAAGAGTAGCATGGTTGACAACTCTGGCATGCTGACCCTTAGCAAGGTTAGGAAGAGAAGTTCCTGTGTTCAGAGCCCGTAAATATATAATGTTCTTGATTTTCTTATATGATGGGTAGCTTTAAAATGGTATCATTTCCGAGTATGCTGAACAGCTCCTACATGAAACTTAATGTCATAGAAGAATTCTTGAAGTCTAGTGCATTGCTTGAAAGCTAGTTTGTTTGCTGTTATCAACAACCTTCCATTTTACATAGGTAATCAAAAGGCCATTTTAACAAGGGAATATTTTGTTGCCCTAAAACTTGTAAGCTACTCTTATAACCTCATGACACAAGACCTTACTGTGGAAATCAGTTAAAACACTAGAATACATATGATACTGAAGTGGGTAAAATGATAAATACCAAGTCCCAGATTCCTGCTCACACTCAGCTACTGCATGTTCAATTTGGCCACACATCCCAGAGCAGCATCTTTCTTTGAGACTACAGTCTGCTTGATGAATGCATCTCTGCTACCCCCAAATCTTCCTTCCCTTCCCACCAAAGTCCACTGATTACAGGGAAAAAAACATGCTTTTTTACCCTTTGGAGAGGATGGGAGACTCTGCAGAAGAATGTGGAGATTTTTCTGACAGCTTAGACACAACTCCTGTTTTTTCCTGGGATGGTAAAGGAAAATGACCGTGTATTTCACGTACTTTCCCTCTTTAAACTATGATCTTTATATTAGATATTTAGATGTCTATAGGAAGAAAGGGAAAAATTTAAGATTTTGATAAGTAGTTTTGTAAGCTTGAGATAAAAGTTAGTTGACAAATTACCTTATAAAACTACATAGTGATGTCAAAAAGACGTTACTTCTGTGTTCTCGGAAGTGCAATGCATTTTTGTATTAGTAAGTTAAAACTAAGCCCTACAGAGCAAGAAGCCCTCCATTCTTGTTGCATAATTTTTACTACAAACCTGGAGATCCAGTATTTCCAGTGATATTCATTCTTACTGACTTATATGCTTTAAAAAAAAAACCAAATTCTAAAAGGAAAAGAAAGGGAAAAGAAGCCACTCTTAAACAAATGCTCCCTTTCAAAACATTATTAGATGCTGTAAGAAGAGTTTTAGTCAGAGACATTATAGTTACTGCATTAATACCAGCTAGAGATTGTTCCTATGTATTACTGAACTACAAATTCACTAGTTATGATCACTGACAAATATTGAATCATATGCACAGATCTAGTTGCCAGATAAAGCAGCTATCCAAAAAATCACAGAGGGATTTTTTATGTGTTTAAAAAAGGTCTCCAGTATTTCAATTTAATATGGGTTTCAGTAAGGTTGTTAGCATAGATTGCAGCTGTTCATCAGATGATTGCTGTTCTGTTCTTCAACACCCACACTGTTTAAAAGTGCACCACATAGTGGGATTTAAAAGGTATGAATTCCTGTTTCTCTTCCATTTTAAAAGTCTCTCTTAAAACTTCGGAATGAGAAATAGGCTTTCACATTTTCTTGCTGGTCTCATTCTGATACCTGCTTATGGTTTTTCACTGATCAGGATACAGAGTGCATGTACATGTCCGGAGATAATTTTTGTCATTAATGCATTCACAAGTAAATAGATGGTATTGAATGTCAGTGAGAGCTACCACAGTTTTTACATTATGTTCACTTGACCAAAGTTTGTTTCCTCTGCAATTTGGGCACACTGTTGTGTATACAATGTTCACTATACTTACTGTATCTGAGCTACGCTAATACTGCATGTGTGCATTACTGAACAGTGTATCCGTGACCATCCATCTATTTAACAAAAAATGAAAAGAAAAATAACATGTGTCTTCTGCATCTTATTTCAGACAACCAGATCATCAAAAGTATTTAATTCTCATCAGTTTGAACTGTGTAAAGTACAGTGAGATTTCTTTCCCTGACTAATTCCCTCAACAACACCTTCATAGTGTTATCTCAGAATGATTGTGGTGATGGTTGATTCTTTCAGACAGGCATTGGCTTGCCCATATTTGCCAGATCTGACATTGTAACTCCTCAACCCAAATCCAGGCTTTACAGGCAGATTCTCTGATGAAACTGTCATGCCTTTCCATGACTGTTTGAACACAGCTGACCCTCTGAATACCAGTTCCTAGTAGAGGGAGACCAGCAATAACTTCCCAATCATTTGCAGTTCAAGAGATGAACAATATTACTGTTACACGGTGAAGAGGTGCATACAATTGAACTGCTAAAAAGGAAAAGCCAGGAATAGCTATGGAAATTGTCCTTAAAGTTTCAGCAAACATAATAG